ACTTTACATTATATCCTGTGAAGCACTTTGAGACGCCTCAAAGCTGTGATGAAGTGCTAAATCAAATGTAAGGATTATTATCTGAACTAATATAGAAAAAAGGTCTGTTTGTTTGTCTGCTAAAAACACAATAACCGATTAACATGATTTATACCTCATTGGAAAAAGTGGAGTGTCATGGGCATATTTTTTTCGGGGATCTCCTATTGTTGATGAGCTTAAGCACCAAAATATGGGGTATGCACAGTATTCTGCAACAAAATCACACACCATTCTATATTCTGCAATAAAGTGGCAAAAGGAGTCCTCCCAACAAGGAGTCCTCCCAAACACAAGTCCTCCCACAGGAGTCCTCTGAACAAGGACTCCTCCCACTGAGTCTTCTCACTCATTCCTCCCAACAGGAGTCCTCCCAATAATTTTCTTAATCTTAAAAGATGCGGAAGCGAAGATCAAGCCTTTCAAGGACAAATAAAAATGCTATGAAAAGAGAGAAGGCGAATTAAACGAAACTGAAGAACAAAGAACAGCAGAGTTGGACTTCAACACAGAAAGGTATGATCTCAAACCCTGTACATTGTGGTACATTTGTGAGAGATGGGAGGGATGGAGGGTGGGCTTGAGGAGGGGTGTGATAACAGCGGATTTCAGGGGGATTTACACGGATGGATTTGAAAATTGAGCTCAGAAGTGACGTCCGGCAATGAGTTTGATGGGGATTTTGAAATGGCGTCTCCGCGCCTGAAACTGCTGAACCTTCGCCTCACTGGTCATTCACCATCACTCGTTCATCCACCCGTGGCCTCAGTGGTCACTCTCCACCACTCGTTCATCCACCCGTGGCCTCAGTGGTCACTCACCACCACACGTTCATCCACCCGTGGCCTCAGTCGTCACTCACCACCATTCGTTCATCCACCTGTGGCCTCAGTGGTCTCTCACATCTGTTGAACAGATGGGAGATTTGAAATTTCTTGCCCCGCCAGTGCCCGCCCACGGACAACCTCGCCCGGCTTTCATCGGCCAAACCTTCGACCCTCCCCACTCACATCTTCCGCTGTTTACCGTGGTTTCCCGTTTCCCGAGGCCCTGCCATTCACTGACTCATGAGCACGAGCACCATGTGTTGTGACCTTTGGAAGGACTATCTGTGGTCCCCCTCAGGGGGGGACTGCAAATAACACAGAAGTCTTGCAACAACTCGAAGACCTGTTGGATCACACAGTAAAGTGCTTTGGTTGGCATAGCTTGGATACGATCTTCTTTCGTTCATGAGCTATGACCCTCGCACATGTATGGCATTCATGAGCTATGACCCGTCGCACATGTGTGGCAGTTTTGCTTAAAGTGTACACACAGTGCTTGTGGTATGTTAAACGGTTTGTCAATGCTATCACTGCAATCTCCATTCCATATTGGATCCTTTGGTTGCAAACAAAGCTGTAATGGGCACAGCTCGTTATTATTATAAATTAGAATTTAATATTGTTTAAGGAGCTTAAAATATTTTATTTTTCATACACAAACTGAGCTGTTTAGGATTGAAACAAAATTATTTCAATAATAATGAAATAATTTGAAACCCAACTGTTTGTGGGACACTGCTGTACGCCATTGGCGGCTGAAAGTATATATGCAATCAACTTTACAGTATATTCTCTGAAGAGCTTTGAGACGTCTCAAAGACGTTATCAGGCGCTATATCAAATGCATTATTAATAATCATATCTAATGTTTCATTGTTTAATTAAATAAACAGATGAAAGGTATTAAAATGAATATAGTCATTAAAAGCACTCACAAAGGGAAAAGCAAGGATTGATTATTATTAATAAGAGAAAACAAGTGAAGTTTGTTTGACCTGTAGTTGTGCTTAGACAGCGGGTGATGAGAGTTAGAGGGGCTCAGCCCCGCACTGCCCCCCCAATCTATTACCATCATCTGTTTAAGGGGAGCTGGGAGGGGAAAGTCCTGAGTCCTGAGGGGGACCACAGATAGTCCTTCCAAAGGTCACAACACATGGTGCTCGTGCTCATGAGTCAGTGAATGGCAGGGCCTCGGGAAACCACGGTAAACAGCGGAAGATGTGAGTGGGGAGGGTCGAAGGTTTGGCCGATGAAAGCCGGACGAGGTTGTCCGTGGGCGGGCACTGGCGGGGCAAGAAATTTCAAATCTCCCATCTGTTCAACAGATGTGAGAGACCACTGCGGCCACGGGGGGATGAACGAATGGTGGTGAGTGACGACTGAGGCCACGGGTGGATGAACGTGTGGTGGTGAGTGACCACTGAGGCCACGGGTGGATGAACGTGTGGTAGTGAGTGACCAGTGAGGCGAAGGTTCAGCAGTTTCAGGCACGGAGACGCCATTTCAACCACCCCCTGAAACCCGCTGTTATCACACCCCTCCTCAAGCCCACCCTCCATCCCTCCCATCTCTCACAAATGTACCGCTCCACCCTCGCCTCCACCAAATGGTCCTTCTACTCCAAGATAATCTTGGACGAGAAGGAAGACCCCAGCCTCCTATTCTCAAACACCAATTCCTCCATCCACCCTCCCACGCCTCACCCATTCTCTCCTCAAGTTCTGACTGTGAGGAGATGCTGGATTTCCTCAAGTCCAAAATCCAGAAGATCTGTTCAGTTGCCTCCACCCTCCCAACCGCCACTCCCTCCCCTTCTCCCCCCCACACTCTAACCCCTACCCATAACCTCCCTTCACCTTTTTGAACCTGTCTCCCCCTCCTCTCTCATCACCACCATAACCAGCATGAAACACACCACCTGCTCCCTTGACCCCATTCCCCATACTTCTTCTTACCTCCCAGTTCCACCTCCTCACTCCTCTGCACTCCGACATCATCAATCGCTCCCTATCATTTAGCACCGTTCCAATCCTCCTAAAAGCAGCTAGATTCATCCCAATTCTGAACAAATCTTCCCTGGACCCATTCCTACTTTGTAACTACCGGCCCATCTCCAACCTCCCTTTTCTTTCCAAGGTCCTTGAAAGAGTCATTGCTTCCCAGCTTCGTTCATTCCTCTCCTACCACTTCCTTCACGATCCCCTCCAATTGGGTTTCTGAGCTGTTATCAGCACAAAAACTGCTCTGGTCAAGGTGACAAAGGACATTTTGTTCATCTGCGACCAGGGCTCCCTCTGGCTCCTTGTCCTCCTCGACCTCTCCGCTGCCTTCAATACCATGGACCACTCCATCCTCCTCCACCACCTCTCCGCTCCCCTCAAAATTAAAGGTTCTCCGCTTGAATTGTTCGGGACTTATCTCTCACACCATCTCCAAAATGTCTTCCTAACAGTTTCACTTCCAGCCCCAGTCAGGACACGGTGTGTCTTGTTCGACACTCAACTGTCTTTTCTCCACCATATACATACCATGACCCGCTCTGCCTTTCCCCCACCTCTGCAACATTGCTCGACTCCACCACTACCTCACCCGTCAGGCCACCAAAACCCTCATACACACATTTGGCATCTCAAGGCTCGACTGCAGAATCTCCCTCCTTGTCAGCCTCCCGAACCAGGCTCCGTGACCCGATCACCCCCATCCTCGCCCGGCTCCACTGGCTTCCCATCACTCAGACAATACAGTTCAACATCCTGGTGCTCAACTTCAAAGCCCACCATGGCTTTGCTCCTCTCTACCACTGTGACCACTTAACCCCACCAACCTGTCCTCTCCCCCCGCTCAGCATCTCCGGCCTGCTCCACGTCCCCCATCTTGTCCACCCCACCATTGGCGAGCGGGCTTCAGCCTCTCTGCCCCCATCCCTCAGTCCCTCCACATCGCCCCCTCCGTTGCCGCCTTCAAGGCCCATCTCAAGACACTCCTCTTTGACCATTCTTTCGATCACCCTCTTACGTCTACCCTCCCCCCCCTCCACCCCTCCTGATCCCAACCACCAGCTCGGGTTGGCATTCCTAACATCACAGCCCCTTAAGATGTCCTAATGTGAAATGCGCTGCGAAAATGTAATTTGTTGTTCTTGGTATCAGGGGGTGAGGGTTAGGGGTGTGTGTCAGGGGGTGAGGGTTAAGGTGTGTGTATCAGGGGGTGAGGGTTAGGGGTGGGTATCAGGGGGTGAGGGTTAGGGGTGTGTTTATCGGGGTGAGGAGTGTGTGCAGATTGTGTTCAATCATTGGACATAAAATAATAACAAAACAAATTTATTGTAAATTTATCGAGTATTTTGTAAGTGAACGACAATATTTTGGATATTAATATCCAGTTGAACAGACACAGACACGACTTCGGTTTAGTGAGGGTTAAAGATCTCACTTCTTGGGTGACTGTTACAGTGAGTGAGAGAGAAATGTGACAGATTATAAAAACTGTCACTGAAAACACACCTTATTTATACACAGTGAGACGCGGCTGCTCACTGGGGAACAACACGGCACCTGTTTATAGATATAAAAGTGATTTGGGAGATTTCAGTGAGATTCTGAGCACAGCCCCGACTGTGAGACTGGGCATTGCTGGAGAGAAAGATATCAGCGATATATATCCCTGTCTCAGAGCGTGTGAGTCACACACTGGATGGCAAGTCAGATTCTCTCAACGCAGATGTGAGGGGGTGTGTGGGGGGGGGGGGGGGGGGGAGGGGTGTTAGGGTGTGTGGGGGGATGCGAGGGTGTGAGGGGGGATGTGAGGGTGTGTGTGGGGGGATTTGAGGGTGTGCGTGGGGGGATGTGTGTGTGTGTGGAGGGGGATGTGTGTGTGGGGGGAAATGTGAGGGTGAGTCTGAGGGTGATGTGCATGTGGGGATGTGAGTGTGTGTGTGAAGTGGGGATGTGAGGGTGTGTGTGGGGGGGATGTGAGGGTGTGTGGGGGGGGATGTGAGGGTGTGTGGTGGGGGGATGGTAGGTTGTGTGTGGGGGCGGGGTGTGAAGGTGTGTGTGGAGGAGGATGTGAGGGTGTGGTAGGGTGGGGGGGGGGTGCAGGCGGAATGTGAGCGTGTGTTTGTGTTGGGATGTGAGGGTGGGGTGTATATGTGAGGGTGTGTGTAGGGTGATGGTCGGGGTGATGCCCATTTTAAAGTGCACACCCTTCCCCCCCACACCCAAGAATATTTTCACCGCCATTGTATGAAGTTAATGGCTGAGGGTTTTTGCTCCTCATTATAATGGACAATTTTTCCTCCTCATTAACTGTCACCGACAGATTGTCAGAGGCTCAGAACCAAACCTGGGACTGAACAGAGGATAAAGTTTCTCAGTGAAAGTTTGGGTGAAAGTGTGGAGATGAGCCATGTTGTGAGCGTTGTAAAATGACACCTGTCCCCCCTCATAGTCCATGTAAACCCCGACCTTCCCGGGTCTCACTGTCAGGGGCAGGCGGGTGGGGGGTGACGTCAGAGCATCATAGACCCCAGCCCTCAGCCACACCCCCCAGACCCCACCCTGTGGTGACCAAGTGATTGGTTGTTTCCTGTTGACAGACTCTGCGGCCAATCCCACAATCCACTCTCTCTTGTTGCCCACCTGCACCTCCCAGTAATGTCTCCCCGATGTGAAGCCCTCAGATCCCAGGACAATGGGATAGTTACTAAACCTCTTCGGGGAGTCAGGGAGCGGCTGCTCTTCGTCTCCGTGTCTCACACTGGTCAGGTCCTCAGACAGGATGAGCTGACGATGGGCTGTGTCAGGATCCAGAGTGACTGTAACTGGAGGGAGAATCAGACCATTATTGTCGTATACATTTACAATCATAAATAAGATGATCTTCAGCGTCGTCACCGGGAGAGAAGCCTTTGTGTAAAACATCGACATCTCCTGGGAACAGAATCCGCAAAAAGGCTGAGAGTCTGTGTGTCTGTGGGGGAGGGATTCGTGTGGGGGGGAATGTGTGGGTGTGTGTGGGGGGTTGTGAGGGTGTGTGAGGGGGGCATGAGGGTGTGTGAGGGGGGACGTGAGGATGTGTGTGGGGGGGAATGGGAGGGTGTGCATGTGTGGGGGGGATTGTGAGGGTGTGGGTGTGTGGGCGGGTTCGTGAGGGTGTGGGTGTGTGTGGGGGGGGTCGTGAGGGTGCGTGTGTGGTGGGGATCGTGAGAGTGCGTGTGTGGGGCGGGCATTGTGAGGTTGCGTGTGGGGGGGTTGTGAGGGTGCATGTGGGGGGGTCGTGAGGGTGCCTGCGGGTGGGGTCGTGAGGTTGCGTGAGGGGTGGGGTCGTGAGGGTGCATGTGGGAGGGTCGTGAGGGTGCCTGCGGGTGGGGTCGTGAGGTTGCGTGAGGGGTGGGGTCGTGAGGGTGCATGTGGGAGGGTCGTGAGTGTGCGTGTGGGGGGTGTCGTGAGGATGCGAGTGGGGGGAGGGATCGTGAGGGTGCGTGTGTGGGGTGGTGTGAGGGTGCGTGTGGGGGGTGTCGTGAGGATGTGCGTGGTGGTTTCTTTAGTGTGCGGTGGGGGGGTCGTGAGGGTCCGAGTGGGGGGGGTTGTGAGGGTGCGAGTGGGGGGGGTCGTGAGGGTGCGAGTGGGGGTGGTCGTGAGGGTGCGAGTGGGGGGGGTCGTGAGGGTGTGAGTGGGGGGGGTCGTGAGGGTACGTGTGCGGGGGGTTGTGAGAGTGCGTGTGCGGGGGGGTCGTGAAGGTGGATGTGAGGGGTGAGTTCGTGAGGGTGCGTGTGGGGAAGGGATGCACGTGGGGGGGATGCGCGAGGGGGGATGCGCGAGGGGGATGCGCGTGGTTGGGGAAGCGCGCGGGGGGGAAGCGCGTGAGTGGGGGATACACGCGGGTGGGGGATACACGCGGGTGGGGGGAGATGCGCGTGGGGGGGTATGCACACGGGGGGGGAATGCACACGGGGGTGGGGGGTGGAGATGCACGCGGGGGCGGGAGATGCGCGCGGGGGTGTGCGCACGGTTGGGGGGTGCGCGCGGGTGTGGGATGCATGCAGCGGTGGGGATGCGCGGGGTGGGGGGGGAATGCGTGTGGGGTGTGGATGCTGGGGGGGGATGCGTGTGGTGAAGGATGCATGAGGGGGCGGTATGCGTGTGGGGGGGATGCGTGGGGGGGGATGTTTGGGGGGGATGCGTGGGTGGCGGAATGCGCGGGGGGGTGGGATGCGCGGGGGGGTGAGGGTCTGTGTGTTGTGGTGGTGATGTGATCGAGTGTGTGGGGTGGGTCAGTGTGTTGGATGTTGTTTGCTCGGTCACTCAGACTCTTACCTGCAGACTCACGAATCCTTTTCAACTCTGGAACCAACAAGAAACAAGTGATCAGACGTTTGGCAGCTCCAAACCTCATCACTTTCCCTCCCTCCCTCTTTCTCTCCCTCACTCTCTTTAACTCATTCCCTCCATCTCTCAGTCACTTCCCCTCTCTCTCTCACTCCCTACCTCTCTCTCGCATTTTCTCCCTCTCGCTCTCCCTCTCTCACTCCCTCAATCTCTCACTTCCTCCCTCCCTCCCTCTCTCATTCCCTCCTCCTTTCCCTCCCGCCTTCTCTCATTACCTCCTCCTCCCTCCCTTCCTCTCCCTCCCTCTCGCTCCCTCTTTCACTCACTCCCTCCCACTCTCACTTATTCCTTTCCCCTCTCACTGCTTCCTCCTCTCTCTCTCTCCCTCCTCCTTTCCATCCTGCCCTCTCTCTTTACCTCCTCCTCCCTCCCTTCCTCCATCCCTCTCTCTATCTCTCCCTCCCCCTTCTCACTCCCTCCCCCCATCACTCATTTCCTTCCCTCCCTAACTCACTCCTTCCTTCTCTGCCTCCCTCTCACACTCCCTCCCTCCCTCTCACACTCCCTCACTCGTTGACCCCTCAATGTGTGTGTGTTCACAAACCAATGTTGTCTGAGGGAAGAAAAGGGAAAGTTGAAGCTGTGAAACAGACCAATGTTTGGAGTTAAACACTCTGTAATAATTCATGGAATAGAATCATTGAAATTTACAGCCCAGAAGGAGGCCATTCACCATCGAGTCTATATGGGCTCTCAGAGCAAAGTGTTAACAACAGCTGCCCCGCCCTATCATTAACCCCTTCAAGTCTCTATCCCTCATACACCTGTCTACTTCCCTGTCTACTGCCCTCCGCTCCACCATTGGAAATCGTGCGTTCAGCCACTACGCCCCAAAACTCTGGAACACTCTCCCTCAAACCCTCCGCCTTGTCCTCTCTCTCCCCCTTTTCAAGTCCCACCTGAAAACCTTTCTTTTCGACTGTGCTTATAGTCAGCTCCCACCAACTCCCCCCCCGGCCCGGCTCAGGATCACGCTCTGTCTCTGTTCAGCGATCTGAGGTGCCATCCTGCGTGGAGGGCACTATACAAGTGCAAGTTGTTGTTATTCTATAATAATAATCCTTGAAATAGATTTGGCTCCTCAAAAGCATTTCGCAGGATTTACTGGAGAGTGTAGTGACTGTGTATTTTGTTGGCAAACTATAACATAAGTGATCTGGACTTGGGTATAGCAAGCACCATTTCCAAGTTTGCGGACGACACAAAGTTAGGTAAACAGTGAGAAGGATAGGAGCCAACTGCAGGAAGACACAGACAGAATGGTAAAATGGGCGACACATGGCAGATGAATTTTAATGTGGAGAAATGTGAGGTATTGCATTTTGGTGGAAAGAATGAGGGGAGGCCATATAGGCTGGTCATACAATCTTAAGGGGATAAATGAACAGATAGACCGGGGGGTGCAAGTAAATGAATCCTTGAAGGTAGCAGGACAGGGAGATAAGGCTGTAAAAAGGGCATATGGGATACTAGGCTTTATAAATAGGGGCATAGAGTACACGAGTCAGAAGGTTATGATTAACCTATATAAACACTGGTTAGGCCTCAGTTAGAATACTGCGCCCAGTTCTGGGCACCGCACTATAGGAAGGATGTTAAGGCATTGGAAAGAGTGCAGAGGAGATTTACGAGGATGGTACCAGGAATGAGGGACCTTGATTATGAGGAAAGGCTGGAGAGGTTAGGATTATTCTCATTGGAGCAGAGAAGGTTACGAGGACCTAATAGAGGTCTTCAATATCATGAGGGGATTTGATAGGTTAGAAAGGGAAAAACTGTTCCCACTGGTGGGTGTCGGTGACTCGAGTTCACAGATTTAAAATAGTCTCTAAAAGAAGCCGAGGGGAGGTGAGAAGAAATGTTTTCACGCAGCGAGTTGTTCGAATCTGGAATGCATTGCCTGAGATGGCAGTCGAGGCCGATACGATAACAGCTTTTAAAAACGCGATGGATGATATTTGAGGAGGACGGGTTTGCAGGTTATGGGGAAAGGGCTGGAGAGTGGGACTGACATTACATTGCTCTTTTCAAAGAGCCGACACAGACTCTATGGGCCGAATGCCCTCTTTTTTGTGCTGTTCAATTCTATGATTCTATGAACTATGTCTGCTTTGTGTGAAGCTTGTGAATGAGGTTAATCACAACGTGAAATCGTTATTTTATTTTGATGACTTACCCACTCTCTTCTCAAGATCTGGAGGATACAAAACAAAACTGTTAGAAACCGCTCCTGAATCCAGTATTGTTTAATGCTCAGTCTACATGTTTACAACATTAACAGTTAGAAACTACACAAAGTGCAGCTCAACACAATTACAGGAGGTTTGAATTACAATAACATTTACATTTACACAGCACCTTCCACAGCGGGAGATATCCCAAAGCCCTCAGAATGCTGACTGGGGTCTGAGCTGGGATCTGAGCTGGGATCTGAGCTGGGGGCTGACCTGGGGTCTGAGCTGGGATCTGAGAAGGGGTCTGAGCTGGGATCTGAGCTGGGGTCTGAACTGAGGTCTGAGCTGGGGTCTGAGCCGGGGTCTGAGCTGGAGTCTGAGCTGGGATCTGAGCTGGGATCTGAGCTGGGATCTGAGCTGGGGTCTGAGCTGGGGTCTGAGCTGGGATCTGAGCTGGGGTCTGAGCTGGGGGCTGAGCTGGGGTCTGAGCTGGGGTCTGAGCTGGGGTTGGGGTGGGGGGGAACGGGTGAGAGGGTAAAATTAACTGAAAATGCAGAATGAGGAAGGTCATGGGACAGGCCTTGAAAGAGGTGATGGAGGGGGCGGAGGGAGGGGGCGAATCGGAAGGATTCTTGGCTTGAGTTGCAGAGAGTGGGGGCAGAGAGGCTGAAAGCCTGAGCTGCTGATGGTGGGGAGGGAGGATCAGGCGGTGACATGAAACAGGCCGGGGGTCACTGAGTGAAGGGAGGGACCAATTGTTTTATAGAACTTGCACATTCTTACACAAACAGTAACAGTGTTGTGATGGGAGATGTTACTGATGGGAACGTACCTTTGATCTCTCGGCGCTGTTTTACACTGTAGGGGACAAGAACACTCAGCACCAATATGGCAAGTCCTAAGAGCAGTGCGGAAACCACCAAACCCACTGGCACTTTGGGAAAGAACTCGTCTGTCAAGGAATGTAAATAGACATTTAAACATCTATTCTGATGTCATAACATAACATGTAGGAGCAGGAGGAGGCCAATCGGCCCTTCGAGCCTGCCCTGCCATTCAATCATGGCTGATCTGCTAATCTAACTCCACATAATAACCTGACGCTGCCTTATCCCCATATCCCTTAATACCTTTTGCAAGAAGAAATCTATCCATCTCAGTCTTGAATATGTTCAAGGACTGAGCGTCAACAGGCCTTTGAGACAGTGAGTTCCATACATTCACTGCCCTTTGAGTGACGAAGTTCTTCCTCAACTCAGTGCGAAAGGGCTGCCTCTGATTTTAAGGTTGTGACCCTGGTTTTAGTTTCTCCAACCGGGGACACAATCTCCCACTATCTACTCTATCTGCCCTTTGATGATCTTATAGGTTTCTGTAAGATCCCCTCTAATTCTTCTATATTCCACAGAATAGAGGCCCAAATTGTTCAGCCTCTCCTCGTAACTCATCCCCTTCATCCCTGGTACTAACCCAGTAAATCTACGCTGCACCCCTCCGAGGCAAGTACATCCTCCCTTAAATGAGAAGACCAAAACTGCCCCCAGTATTCCAGGTGTGGTCTCACCAGAGCCCTATACAGTGGCAGCAACACTTCCCTACTCTTATACTCTAATCCTTTCATACTGAATGCTAACACACCGTTCCCCTTCCTAATTGCTGCTGCACCTGCAGACTGACTTTCTGTGACTGGTGTACAAGGACACCCGAGTCCCTCTGGACACTGACACATTCCAATCTCTCCCCTTCTAAAAAATAACCCGCTCTACTGTTTTTGCTACCGAGGAAGATGTCAAACACAAATGGATGTCAAATTGGATGTCAAACACAAATAGCTTTATTTGCCCCCATTTCATTTGTTGTTGTTGTCCTGTAGCTTCTCAGCTCTTAACTTGGAGTCTTCCCTTCACTGTGAGGTGGATCAGCAACATTTGCCTTTTCTGAAGCAATGTTGGCTGTGAGTTATGAAGTATTGATTCATTCACAATGTAATCAGCAGCTTAAGTAGGTTAGCAGGAAGGGTGGGTGAGCTGGAGTACTGCGGTCATTTCAGTTTGTAATAAGAAGATTCACTGCCTCCAAAGCCCTCCATGGTCCTGCTTCTCCCTATCTCTGTAATCGGTTAACTCCATATTTCTGCCCCAATTCTGTAGAACTCCAAATCTGCATCATATCTATCAGACTATTGTTAATAATTCAGTGTATTTACTGACCTGAGATTTGGAGTTTTCCTTCTTGTTCATTTTCTTCATTGTGAATCAGACACCTGATCTTGTTGGTTGAATAGATTATTTCTATTTGGCCTTTAACACTGAAGAGACCTTTAGAATCCTCTCTGACCGTCCAGTTACTGAGTGTTGTTAAGTTGTTTCCCTGATCATCAAACCACAGAACCTCTGGTGCTGGGAACCATCCACTGGATTCACACCGCAGCCTCACACCATCACTGTGCTGCCCATCAACGTGAATCCAAGGCTGACTGCCAAGGCCTGGAAGACAGGAGACGTGAATCAGACAATATTAATACCCGGACATTACAGAGCAGTAACTTTACTGAAGGCCACAACATTCTGAATACATTTACACCAATGAAAACTTGTTCTTGTTTATATAAAGTATTGCATTTTGAACATAACATTAACAAATAAATGAATGTTTGTACACACAGATTACATGAAGTAAAATGAATTATAAACATTACTGACCTATAACTTTCAACTCTATCTCTGCCTCTTCATACAATCGGGCGTATCTAACCAAACATGTGTACTCTCCGTTATCTGACACCCGCACATCTCCCAGTCTGAGAGACACATCGCCGTTGATAAACTCCTCTACAAACAGTTGTGTTCTGTGTCTGTAGGCTTCATCCTGTGTTTCCAGTTGCTGTCGTCCCTCCTTGTATAAGTGCACAGGGGAGTCGTATCTTGTCCTGAACCATCTCACCTCCACACCCTCTCGTGGCAGGTCTATGGAACACTTACAGTCCAGGACAACATCTGAACCAGCAATGGCTGGGACAGGGAGGGCCGGGCCACTGACTGTGAATCTCTCTGCTTAATAACAAACAATGGATACAGTTAGGATTTTCAGTCATTGACTCAGACAAACTCCGTCGCTGAGATAACAATAATAATCCTTACATTTGATATAGCACCTTATAAATAATTATTTGGGAAGGACAAGTTTGCGGCGCTATGGGGAGAGAGCGAGGGATTGGGATTGATTTGGATAGCACTTTTAAAAGAGTTGGCCCGCTGGGCTGAATGGCCTCCTTTCGTACTGTATAATTCTATGATTTTCTGATTATTCTATGATTATCACATCGCTGAGAAGTCTCAAAATCTTCATAGGATATACTGTAAAGCGCTCTGACTGTATTTTGTGGAGGAAAGGCGGCAACCAGATTGTGCACATCATTTACCTTTATCTTCAGCAATTTAGCACCAACAGAAATCAAACAGATTCAATGTGTTTCCTTACCAGTCAGTGAGAGGGGAAGCACAAGCCACAGGACCTGAATACAGTGTTTGCAGCTCATCTTCGAGGACCTTCACAATGAGATCAGAACTGGTTACAACACAGCAAATCAGATCATTACACACAGAGATTTGTGATCAAATATAATCAATAAAATATAAAACATAATTAATAACTCTGTGATCTTACAACATGTTCTTTGCATTTACACCCACAGCGAACAAACTGCCTTCTCTGTTGGAATAGTGATGTGGGATCTTTAACTGTGACAGTGAGGCCCCCCCTGGCCCCGCACTGGGGGTCTCCATGAGATGGTTTGGGGAAGAAACATGTTATGTGTAACTGCTGTAATGTGCCCCTCCCCTCCCCCTCCTCACAGCCGCTCCTTATTCACCCCAACATGGTGCAGGTCAGAGAGGAGCTCCCATTCCCTTCCCTCCTCACTTGCCTCCAATTCTCAGCGTTTAAACCACAAACTGGGAATAAACTGACTGCAGAGCTCCCGCTTTAGTACTGACACAAACCTGACAATAGAGAACATTTATTTCACATTTAAACTCCACATCACCACATGTGAAAGTGAAACCAGTGAATCCTGTAACTGGAATCGCAGTAAAGTTAAGGCGTTATTTTAAGGGTAAAATAACAATTTTCGACACTGACTGTTGAGGCTTTGTTCTGAAAGAGAAGAATCTTCACTGTTAACAGTAAATTAATCGTGTGTCCGGAATGGCGATGTCCAGAGGTTTCGGTTTCTGTGGGAATCTGGTTATAGCCCCACAAACAGGGAAAGTGCAGCTCAAATATTCCCCACAATATAAAGTGGGGAAAAGTCCTGTGATGTTCAGTGTTGATGTTGACAGCAGCTCCTCACATTGCTGTCTGGCCTGGTCACTCCTCACATTGCCGTCTGGCCCGGTCACTCCTCACATTGCCGTCTGGCCTGGTCACTCCTCACATTGCTGTCTGGCCCGGTCACTCCTCACATTGCTGTCTGTCCCGGTCACTCCTCACATTGCTGTCTGGCCCGGTCACTCCTCACATTGCTGTCTGGCCCGGTCACTCCTCACATTGCTGTCTGGCCCGGTCACTCCTCACATTGCTGTCTGGCCCGGTCACTCCTCACATTGCTGTCTGGCCCGGTCACTCCTCACATTGCTGTCTGGCCCGGTCACTCCTCACATTGCTGTCTGGCCTGGTCACTCCTCACATTGCTGTCTGGCCCGGTCACTCCTCACATTGCTGTCTGGCCCGGTCACTCCTCACATTGCTGTCTGGCCTGGTCACTCCTCACATTGCTGTCTGGCCCGGTCACTCCTCACATTGCTGTCTGGCCCGGTCACTCCTCACATTGCTGTCTGGCCGGTCACTCCTCACATTGGTCTGGCCGGTCAACCTCATGCTGTCTGGCCTGGTCACTCCTCACATTGCTGTCTGGCCTGGTCACTCCTCACACTGCTGTCTGGCCCGGTCACTCTCACATTGCTGTCTGGCCCGGTCACTCCTCACATTGCTGTCTGGCCCGGTCACTCCTCACATTGCTGTCTGGCCCAGTCACTCCTCACATTGCTGTCTGGCCCGGTCACTCCTCACATTGCCGTCTGGCCTGGTCACTCCTCACATTGCTGTCTGGTGACTCCTCACATTGCTGTCTGGTCACTCCTCACAGTTACCTTCAGTTCCGCAGCAAAAACAGCAACTGCTTAATTTCCGGGTTTGTTAAAACACATCGTTTTCTGAGAAATTTCCTTCATCTGATCTATGTGTGTGTACAGAGAGAGAGAGTGTGTGTGTATAACAGTGTGTGTGCAGAGAGATAAAGAGTGTGTATGTGCACAGAGAGAGCGTGTGTGTGCACAGAGTGTGTATGTGTGTGCACAGAGAGAGAGTCTGTACAAGACTGTTGTGTGCACAGAGAGAGAGAGTGTACAACAGTGTGTGTGCAGACAGAGTGTGTGTGCAGACAGAGTGTGTGCACAGAGAGAGAGTACAACAGTGTGTGTGCAGAGAGAGAGAGAGAGTACAACAGAGTGTGTGCAGAGAGAGTGTGTGTGCAGAGAGAGTGTGTGTGCGCAGAGAGAGAGTGCGTGTGTGTGCAGAGAGAGAGAGAGAGTCTGTACAAGACTGTTGTGTGTGCAAGAGAGAGGACATGGTGTGAGAGATAGAGAGTGTGTGTGCAGAGAGAGAGAATGTGTGCACAGAGAGAAATTATGTACAAGACTGCTGTGTGTGCACAGACAGATACAGTGTACAACAGTGTGTGTGCAGAGAGATAGAGAGTGTGCACAGAGAGTTTGTATGTGCAGAGAGAGTGTGTGCGTGTGCACAGAAAGAGAGAGTCTGTACAAGACTGTTGTGTGTGCACAGAGAGATAGAGTGTACAACAGTGTGTGTGCAGACAGTGTGTGTGCAGACAGAGTGTGTGCACAGAGAGAGAGTACAACAGTGTGTGTGCAGAGAGAGAGAGAGAGTCTGTACAAGACTGTTGTGTGTGCACAGAGAGAGTGTACAACAATGTGTGTGCAGAGAGATAGAGAGTGTGTGTGTGCACAGAGAGAGTGTGTGTGCACACAGAGTGTATGTGTGTGCACATAGAGAGAGAGAGAGTCTGTACAAGACTGTTGTGTGTGCACAGACAGATAGAGTGTACAACAGTACGTGTGCAGAGAGTGTATGTGCACAGAGAGAGAGTCTGTGTTAGACTGTGTGTGTACAGAGAGAGAGAATGTACAACAGTGTGTGTGCAGAGAGTGTGTACAAGTGTGTGTGTAGAGAGAATGTGTGCAGAGAGAGAGTGTGTACAAGAATGTGTGCAGAGAGAGAGTGTGTGTCAGTGTGTGCAGAGAGAGAGAGAGTGTACAAGATTGTTTGTAAGAGTGTGTGTGTACATTATGTATGTGGTAGAGAGTGTGTATGTGTGTTCAGAGAGAGTACAAGACTGTGTGCACAGAGAGAGTGTGTGTGTGCACAGAGAGAGAGATTGTGTACCAGTGTGTGTGTGTGTGCACAGAGAGAAAGAGAGAATGTGTGTATAAGAGTGTGGTTCATACACTGAGAGTGTATAAAAATGTCTGTGTGCACACAGAGAGATTGAACAAGAGTGTGTGTGCACAGAGAGAGAAAGTGTAAAACAATGTGTGTGTGTACAGAGACAATGTGCAACAGTGTGTTTTTGCACAGAGAGAGTACAAGAGTGTGTGTGTGCACAGAGAGAGAGGATGTGTTCAAGAGTGTATGTGTGTGCACAGCGAGTGTACACGTGTGTGTGTATATATGTACATTGCGTATGTGATAGAGTGTGTGTGTGACAGTGTGTCTCAATGTACACAGTGTGTGTGTGACTGTGGCTCAGTCTACACAGTGTGTGTGTGACAATGTGTCTCAATGTACACAGTGTGTGTGTGACTGTGGCTCAGTCTACACAGTGTGTGTGTGACAGTGTGTCTCAATGTACACAGTGTGTGTGTGTGACAGTGTGTCTCAGTGTTTGTACAGTGTGTGACAGTGTTTTCTTAGTGTGGACAGTGTGTGTGACACTGTCTCAGTGTGTGTGACAGTGTGTATAGTATGTGTGACAGTGTGTATAGTATGTGTGATAGTGTGTATCTCAGTGTAGTGTTTGTGACATCGTGTGTGTAGTGTGTGTGACACTTTATCTCAGTGTGTACAGTGTGTGCGTGTGACAGAGTATCAGACTGTGTGTACAGCGTATGTGAAACAGAAAGAGCACATGTGTGTTTAGTGTGTGCGACAGAGTGTATAAGGTTGTGTTTACAGTGCATAATGCAGTTAGAGAGAGAGAGAGAGAGAGAGTGTGAGAGGGTGTGTCTCAGTGTGTGACATCGTGTGTATATGAGTGTGGGACAGAGAGAGAGTATGTGTGTCTCTGAATGTACAGTGTGTGTCACACTGTGTGTCTCAGTGGAGCAGCTGAATGGAGGGAGCGGACAGGTTGGTGGTGGGTCAACAGGTCAGAGATGTAGGAGGGGACAAGGCCGAGGAGGGCCTTGAAAGTGAGGACAAGGATTTGAATTCTATCCTTGAGGGGACCTTAAAGTTGAGGTGAGAGGAGAGGCGGTGAGGAGGATGGAGTGGTCTATGGTATATCAAAGGCAGCAGAGAGGTCGAGGAGGATGAGGAGCAGAGGGAGCCCTGGTCACAGATAGACAGATAGACAGATGTATCTGTACTCAACTGTAGATAACAGTAATAGAACAGTAAGAGGATACACTGTAATAGATGGTAAATGATAAATTCTCCCACAGATGAATAAATGTTGATCCCAGGATAACCACAGCTGACGTGTCCTGGATGTTGGCTTTGCAGGGACACCGCAGGCCTGGAGTGACTGATGTGGGTTCAATTCTGTACTGAGTGACAGCAGCAGAGTCGCCATCAGAAAATACCAAATAATCAATAAAATCTCTGGGCTGTTTAACAGTCAGACTTTGACTTTCTGCTCCAGACTGTGTGTAACTGTTACTGAACTCCATTATAATTTAATCTCTTTACCTGCAGAAAGGTGAGTGTGTCTTTTTCCATCTGTTTCTGTAACTCTGACAGATTATGTTTTGTAGAATCTAACTTGTCCTGAATCTGTCACAGATTATTCTCCATTTGGTGTAAAATCTCCTCCTCTCGCTCTCTGAGCTCTCGGATTACACGCTGCTCTCTGTCAGTGAGGCTATGGCACATTTTAGCAAACTGTGCCGTGACGTGGTTCTCCAGACTGTTCGCCTGTTGCTGCAAAATGAAGTGTCAGACATCACACTGCGCACAGTAAAGAGAGACACACGACTGAGAGCCCAGACATCAGCCCCGACACAACTTACCTTCACTTGTGAAATCTTTTGTTTCTGTTTAACTTCAGCTCTGAGAGCAGTGGCCTTCCTCTGTGTGAGAGAAGCTAAAGAGGATTTCACGTTGTCCTGGAATTAAATACAAACAGTAAGAAAACTCTTGTTTAATTATAAGGACATAAGAAATGTGAGACGAATAAAGCCCAAAGTCCATCTAGTTTGCCTTCCATTTTATGTCAGGGCCCTTGGAGAAGGTGCAGCGGAGATTTACACCAATGACACCAGGGACAACAACAACCAC